CGGCCGACGCCAAGGTTACCGCGGCGGCGACGAGAGAAAAATATTCCATTGATCGAACTTTTGATTTTTGGGCTCACAGTTGGAGAATTTTGGGGGTCAAAGCGATGCTGAAATAGAAATGGCTCGGGGGTAAATATGGAACTTTCTGCTTTTTGTAGTTGTTAGAATCGACGATTGGGATTTATGCGATTTACCGAACATTCTTTCATATGTCGTGGTTTAATTTCATTCAATCGATCTTTCTCGTCGAAACAATGGTAAAAATCACTTTCGGTCAAAAAAAAAAAAAGCAAGATAAAAATAATGATTAATGTCATATCTACAGTTGCCACATCATCCTCGGTTTTTTTTAATAATGTTAATTTTAAAAGTATTTACCAAAATATGTCACTCCTCAAACTATTTACCAGCTTTGAAATTCATAGGTCGTGAACTGGCATCAGACCAACAAACGTGGCGCTTCCGCAGCGCCACGTAATTTTTTTTTCTTCTAAAATAACGCTTGGTCGTCTCTTGTCCGCTTTTTGAACAGCGTGGCCAAGCATCGTCTATGATTTTAATTAGACATGGCCCTTTTATTACAGTTTTTTAATGTGTGGGTCTATATATTTCCATAATAGACCCACACATTATTCAGCGTCAAATTTGTATTATATTATAAACAAATATAAATTTCTTTTTTTTAGAGCAATATAAATTTCATTTTAAATGAGAGAGAGACGGAAAATCTTCATACTACCAAAGAACTATAAATTTTCCCTTAACAAGTTAACTGCCATATCGAACAATATCAAGGAGTACTATATAGACACATAACTAATCAAATCTTATGGAACAAAACTGTATTGTATCCTAACTTTTTTTTTTTTTTATGATTTCACCACCGCATATTGATTAATAAAAGGATATTAATCCGAGCACTTACTCAAATGGATTGCTTTTGAAATTATTTTTTTTTAATTGAAAAGTTTATAAAATGTGTAATTGATTGATAAATTAATTACACGATCAAAACTCTCTTTGAGAACATAGTCGAGAGCCAACTCCGTCACCGCCATCGTAATTCCTCTGTCTGTAAGGCGGCGGGCGATGTCTTTCATCATTGATTTTGTGATCCTCCTCAGTTGATATTGAGAAAGTGGACGGAAAATGAGAATCTCGTCCAGCCGGTTAAGAAACTCCAGCTTGAAGTAAGCTTTCACCTGTCAAGATTCTCGCCAGCCAAAATAATTAAGTAGACAATTTGGGCGTGATCTAACTTTTTTTCCTATTTGATAATAATTTTCGTTTTTTTTTTTTGTACAATTTTATTTCAGAAGTACTTTATGTTTTTTTGTAAATAAATAATTAAAAACCAAGAAAATTTCAATAACATTTCAGGGGGTCTAATTAATTTTGAAAACAAACCTTAAATATTAAAATTTTATATTAAAAACTCACTTAAAATATTAATATCAAGAAAATTTCTTACAGCGATGACTCAACAAGTTTGATATTGAAAAGTAGTGTGAAAGTACCTCCCGGAGAACCCTATCGCAGGCCACATGCATCGGACGGTACTTTCCGGCTTGGCCGGAAATTAGATGGCCGGCTCCAAGATTCGACGTCATGATGATCACCGTGTTCCTGAAATCGACGGTGCAACCTTCGCCGTCGGTGAGCCGTCCGTCGTCCAAAACTTGAAGCAGAACATTCAAAACGGCAACGTCCGCTTTCTCCACTTCATCCAAAAGAACTACACTGTACGGCCTCCGCTTAACCGGTTCCGTGAGTTGCCCT